CCCTGGGAATCATGACAGCCAGGATTTGAACCCAGGTCTCTACAGCTATGAGGTAAGTGGTTTTTTTTTCCTTTTGTATTACATCATGGTCTTTTTTCTCTCTGTCACCTATTTTAAAAAAAACATGACCTTTCTCTCGCCTTCACTTGCCAGATAACCATGCAAGAATAAGGCCTTGAATGTAGCAGGCACTTGGATAAATAAATGTCTAGTGAATTAAGATATAACTGCGACAAACTCACAGACCAGCAGCAGGGGGAGCCAGCGCCCTTCCTCACAAAAAGTATCACATCACACTAATGAAAAATCAAACCAGAGGATCACAAAGTAGACGGACGGGAGGGACACTACCAGACCTGGGAGGACACTGGTTCTAGGGATTCTGTGAGGCGAGTCCTAGGATAAGAGTCTGGAACACTATCAAGAGACGTGGGTGTTAATGCTGGGTCCAAAATCTAGTGGCAACTTATCACCCTTCTCTGAATGTCCTCATCTGCAAAATGAGGGTGGTGATACTGGCACCTGTGAGGAAAGTTCTTTGTAAACTTAAAACTACATTAGAAACATGTGGTTATTTTTAATAGCTGCATTAGAAGGGCCCTTGGAGAGCATTTAACCTAGCCCTTTCGCTTTATTTTTTTCCTTATTTTTTTAAGTCCCATTTTTTCCTCATTTGAATTTTCCTTATTCCCAGCCCAGATTTTTTAATATTGCCTTTCAAGAAATATAAAACTCCCTTCCCTTCTTTTCTAGCTATGCACTCTCATCCATCTTTTTCATTATCCTTAAAAAAATGTAGCTGTAGTGTCTGAAACCTCACCTGTTATGATTAAGAGCTGGGTACCAAGGATGACTGGCAACAGCCCTATCTCACCTGGGTCAGGTTTTGTGCTCTGTTCAATGTTCATATTGTTGTGTGAGGTTCCTGTTGCCAAGTGTGGCAAAGCACAGAAATGAATGGCAGGTAAGGTCCAATTGGCACCCGGTGGCTTAGCTGCCTGGGTTGTCTGAGGTCTCCCGCCATCTCCCTCTGGGTCTGTTTTGGTTGACTTTGGTTGGTGGCTCTCTGGGGAAGGCAGGCAGAAGCTCATGTAGCATTTCTGTGTTCATCTGGGTCTTTGTGTGTGGTCCATATGTGTATGGTACTCCGTCTGAAGCCATGACAAAAAGTACATCAAAGAGGGAGTCTTGTCCCACATGGCAAAAGAAAAGAGACCTCCAAAGTCCCAACATCCTGTGGCCAATAAACTCCCTTGTTTAGAACACAAAGCTAATACAATGAGGCCAAGGTCAAAGATTAAACTACTTAGGAGTTGGCTAGCTTAGCTCTCACCCACAGCCTCTATATGGCTTGGGGGGAGACTGGGAGAAGACAATTCACAGCACATGTCCTAGTGACAGGGGGTGGATGGCATCCTTTTTTGTGTACAAAGGACAATACCAGTTTCCCATACACAATATGCCCACACAGGGCTGTTTCTGACAACTGCTTTGACTCAACCCATCTGGATGAATGGAGCCAGGAAAGAGTTCAAATATCCATCCTGAGGCACAGGCAAGACTGATGCAAACTGGACCAACAAAAGATTTTGGCCACATGTGAACCCACCTCATTTGTATTTACTAATTCTATTACTTAAGTCTCCACCAAATCTAGTTCAAATGCCATCTCCTGAATGAAGCCTTCTTTAAGTCCCAAAGGGATGTGAACTCTGCCTCCTCTCCACTCTCCCAGCATGGTGTCTGTACCTCTAATGCACTAATCTCATTCAATTTTGTTTCCTAGTTTTATGTGTTCCTATGTGGGCATTGTAGTCTAGTGGAAAGAGCATTGGACTTGGAGTCAAGAGAGACCTGAGTTCAAATCCTAACTACAACACCTATTAATTGTGTGCCTATGGCCAAGTCATTTAACATCTCTAACCACCAGCTTCCTCATCTGTAAAATGTGGATAATAACAAAACCTACCTTCATGGGGTCATCCTGAGGAAGAAATGAGATTAGGTACAAGAAGTATTCTTCCAGTCTCAAAGTTCTATAAAAATGTAGGCTATCACTAACCCATTATTATTACTGGACCACAAAGTTTCTTGAGTACAGGCACTATATCTTGAGACAGCAAGAAGCAACAGGATTTGGAGTAAGAAGCCCTGCTTTCAAGTCCTAGGCTAGCCTCCACTTATTAATTCTGTGATCCAGGAAAAGTCATTTAAACTCTGAGCCTCAATGTCCCGATCTGTCATCTGGGTGTAGCAATATGTATACTATTTACCTCATATGGTCTTTGTAAGAAAATGGCTTTATAAATTGTAGATGCTATAACAAATTGGAGCTACTGTTATTCATACTGCCTAATATTAGTAATCACTTTCAAAGGTAAGGGAGGAATTTTAGTAGATTGTAAGTAAGCTCAATGAATTAATAATATCCTATGGAAGTCAAATAAGATCTTAGGCTATATTAATAAAGGGAAAATATCCAGAACAAGGAAAATAAGTGTCCTTTCCCAGGTCACACAAATGTGATATACTTTGTGAAGTTCTGGTGGTCATGTTGTAGGAAAGCTCTAGTTCAAATCTAGCTTCAGATACTTACTAACTGTGGCACCCTAGGCAAATTACTAAATCTCTGACTGCCTCAGCTTGCCTATCTGTAGGATGGGCTTAATAATAGCACCTAGCTATTTTCCAAGGTTGTTGTAAGGATAAAATAAGATGTTATTTGTAAAGTGCTTTGCTTTATATCTAAACATATATTTATATATATTTGCTTAAAGCATGATATGAAAGCTATCATTATTAATATAATTATTATTTTCATGAACATGCAGAAGAGGGCAACCAGGCCAGTGAAAAGATTAGGAGATTGTGCCATACAAGTATCAGTTAAAGGAACTAGGAATATTTTTCCTAGAGAAGAGAAGACTTAGGGCAGAGATATGACAGCTGCCTTCAAGTATCTAAAATGTTACCATGTGGAAGAGAGAAGATTCATTCGAGTTCATTCGAAGATGAAAAAGACAAAACTAAGAGCCATGAGCAGAAGTTCAATCTGAGAAAAAACTTTCATTTAATAAGAGTGGTCCAGAATTAGGCCAGGTTGTTTTAGCTGGTCATAGGGTCACAGATTTAGAGATGGAAGAGAACTCTAAGTTATCTGATTTAACTTCCTTTTTACATACAAGGAAACTGAGGCCAAAAGAAGTGACTTGCCCAAAGACACAGAAGAAGGGATATGGCCAGAACTCAAACCTAGTTCCTACAACCCTTCTTCAACTACATCCCTCTACTCTAAGTCTTTGAGCAGCCATCTGTTAGATAGTCATTTGTTGGGGAGGCTATAAAGGGGCTTCTTCTCCAGGTAGAATTGGACAAGCTGACCTCTGAGCTCCCTTTCCATTCTGAGAGTCTGTGATTCCATTAATATCTTACCCAGAGATATCTGTATGGGTCCCTAAGATTTTTAAGATTTTTACTATGGCCACTAGTGAAACAGACTCAAAAAACCTCAACAGGACTCAGGATGACTCAGAGCTCTTCACATTTCAATACCTGAAACTTGTGGCCAGCTTTCCAAAGGTGACTAAATCTACAAGTTTTTCTTAGAAATCCAAAACACCTGATGAACACTGGGTTTAATGTACTAATTAACAAAGGACCTTAGAGAACATCTCTTCTCATTCTACAGAGGAAGAAACCTCAAGGCCCAAAGGAAAACTATTTGTCCGAGGTCACACAATAAGTTGGGACAAAAACTCAGTTCTTCTACTTCCCAGTCCTGTGCTCTGCCCACAAGTAATACCTAAGGCAGCTGCCTGTCAAGTCTGGTTTACAAAAGAGTTCAGAGGGACTTTATCTCTCTAAATCCTACCAGCTCCCAGAACATCTCAGTTAATTTTGGTCAGAGACCTATACAAACCCTTGAAATAGTAGCTCCTACCCACAGCTTAATGGAAAACCATATGATTTGGCATAGCCATCAAAAGGCAACGCCCTAAAGCATTATTTCAAATTCCAAATACATAGATTTTCCCCGGATGTTCCAAAGTCTCATCTTTCAGCCGCCTGCCTACTCCTCCCTTTACAAGGCTTGCTCAGAAGCACTAATATATGACATTTCTTCATCCCTTCAAGCTGCAAGGCAGCATGAGCCTTTGGAAACCATAAATACACTCATGTCTATTTCTCCTGCTGCAACCACAACAAAGTCTGGGCAGTTTTTATTTTTGAATAAGCAAGAGGATTGTGTTTCTCCAAAATAGAACACTTTTAAGGAAATAGGATAGTGCAGTGAAAAAAGATTATTGAACCTGTAGCCACACAGTACTAGTACAAAGTCTCCCTTTACTTACTCTGTGACCTTGGGCAAGTCAATTCACTTTTCTGAACCTGTCTCCTCACCTACAACAAAAGAGGGCTGAGGGCCCCTTCCAACTCAGATCCTCCAATCCTAAGGTTCCTTTCAGATTTAAGATTACAGGAGCAAAGGGAATATAATTTAGAGCTAGAAGTCACCTTAGAAATAATTTTCCAGAGGAAACTGAGACCCAGAGGAATTAAGTAATTCTAAGGCCAAGCTCAACCATTTACTAGCTTTGTGACCTTCAACAAGCCATTCTTTCTCTATAACCTTCAGCTTTCCTCTCTGCCAAATGGGGATGATAACAATGTAAAGATCAAGTGAGGAAACCAAGTGAAAATGTTGTGGCCACAAAGTACTAGATAGTCATAATCCGGTATTATTTAGAGGTCCATTTAGGACAAACACAACGGAAACCAGTCCAAGTTGTAACAGGAATGTGAATGAGCTGAGAGGACAGCAAGGGAGAGGAGCTAGGTGCCTGGGACTGATAAATCTGGATCGCGGTGACATTTCAGAATGAAAACCACCCTGCATCCCAGGGTGTGGTGTCTGCAACCTGCCATTCCAAGTGGAGCCACGAGCACCAGCCCAGGCAGGCATCAACACCAAGGGGTCACTCTACACTTCTTATATTAACCTGGGAGGACAGGACGCAGGCCAAAGGGGCCTTTCGTGGGGGAGATGCCCCGGACGATACAGTCGAAAAGAAAGCTGATCTGCTCTCCTTCTGCACAAGAAAGGAAAAATACACCAGCCCCTGGAAAAGAAGAAAAAGAGGACATTATCAACCTAGGCTCTTGTTTTGACAACTGGGCAAAGCATTTTAAAAAAAAAATTCTACAGATATGATGTCCTGAAGAATGTGGACTGCTCGGCACCAGAGGAAATCAGTGTGATTTGCGAGCCAAGAATAAAATGACCCAATCTAACCCCAGCACACACCAAGAAGGAGAAGCAAAAGCAGATTCTATACTTAGTTAATCACTTCTCTAGTCCAGATAAACCTCAGGAGGGAGAGTCATGCAAATGAACTGAAAGAAATTAGAGCAGCTTAAAAAATGAGCCCCATCATGGAGCTGCTGGATTTTTATGTTCTCGCTGCTATGTGGATCTTATTTTTCTTTGGGAACCTTAGCGATTCCCATCTCTGCTGACACAAATGATGCTCTCAGGTGAGAAAGAAAAAACCTCCTATAACACTGAAAACCAAAACACTTTTCTCATGGACATGACATATCCAATTAGAGGGTAAATCTTTAACTGATGATGGCAACAGGGATAGAAAATTACAACTGTATCATTGTCCAACAAGGGGTAAAGGAGACTAAAAAAATTCTTTTTTTGCCCAGAATTTTGGAGCACATTCTGTTTACTTTTAGAGACCTGGGATCCAGTTAAACAAGGTATATGACTATGGCTAAATTCCTTCACCACTCTGAGCCTCAAGTTCCTCATTTGTAAAATGTGGAATTGGGCTGAGTGACCTTTAAAGCCTCCTCCAGCTCCCAAATTCTAGGATATCTGAGCATAGTTAAACCTAGCTCTCAAGCTTTTAATACCAACAATTAGGGGTTTACAATTCAAAACCTATGAAGCAGTTTCTTGAGTGCCACCTGCTTTTTACTCTTTATTATATTGATCAATCAGTCAATAATCAATCAATAAACATTTTTAAGTGCCTACTCTGTGCCAAGCACTATGCTAATAATCACTAGGGATACAAAAAGAGGCAAAAGACAGTCCCTAGCCTCAAGGAGTTCACAACCTAATTTACTTCATTCTGAGTGCTCTCGTAACAAACACGGCCCCAAATAAGAATTGAGACTCCCTGAGAAAGCCAAAGAAGGGGTAGAATCAAAATGAAAGAGTACAAGACAAAGAAGCATGGCAGCATCGTGGTGGCACAGAGAGCTAGCAATGTTCATACATTCATTATTTATAGAACACCTACTATGATACTGAGTAAAGTCCTGGGATTGGAATAAGCTATGGTCCTGGGCCTCTTTGAGAAGGATAAGAGATGGACACAAATAGTTATTACAGAGGCAAGCACATGATCAGTGTCACAACAGAACAAAGAGAGCAATAGGAAGCCAGAGAAATGACAGCATAGACTGGCCCATGAGTTAAGCCTTTAAAGACTGAGAGGTGGAGGAGGAGAGATGGACAGCTAAACCCAGGAAAGAGTATGAGCAAAGGTCAAAGGGGAGAAAGCACAGAAAGCTATAACAAAAAACAATATTATAAGGGCACTGCAGAAGGGGAGCTAAGAACTACATGAGAATTTTTGAGCATAGGAAAAGAGCCACAGAGGGGCCATATGAAATGGTCTATAAAGTACCAGTGGGTCACTCCCCAGTTGATAAATGGTCAAAGGATATGAACAGGCAGTTCTCAGAGGAAGAAACCAAAGCTATCTATAGTCATACGAAAAAATGTTCTAAATCACTATTGATTAGAGAAATGTAAATCAAAAAGACTCTGAGGTACCACACCATACCTATCAGATTGGCTAACATGGCAAAACAGGACAATGATAAATGCTGGAGAAGATGTGGGAAAATTGGAACACTAATACATTGTTGGTAGAGTTGTAAAATGATCCAACCATTTTGGAGGGCAATTTGGAAGTATGCCCAAAGGTCTATAAAATTACGCATACCCTTAGACCCAGCAATAGCACTTCTAGGTCTATATCCCAAAGAGATCATAAAAATGGGAAAAGGAACCACATGCACAAAAATATTTATAGCAGCTCTTTTTGTGGTGGCAAAGAAATGGAAATTGAGAGGATGACCATCAATTGGGTAATGGCTGCACAAGTTGTGGTACATGAATGTAACAGAATACTATTGTACTATAAGAAATGATGAGAAGGCAGACTTCAAAAAACTTGGAAAGACTTACATGAACTGACGCAGAGTGAAATGAGCAGGACCAGGAGAACATTGTACACAACAGCCACATCATGGGATGACTGACTTTGATAGACTTGGCTCTTCACAGCAACGCAAAAATCTAAGATAACCCCAAAAGATTCATAACAGAAATTGCTATCCACACCCAGAAAAAGAAATATGGAGTCTGAATGCAGATGGAAGCATATTATTTGCTCTCCTTCTTCTTTATTGTTTTGTTTTATTGCTTCATTCTTATGGCTCATTCCATTAGTTCTAATTTTTTCTTACATAATGACGAATGGGAAAATATGCTTAACGTGAATGTATATGTAGAGCCTACATCAGATGGTACACCGTCTTGGGGTGGATGTGGGAGAGAGAGAGAAAATTTAAATCTCAAAATCTTATAGCAGTGAATGTTGAAAATAAAAAACATTTTTTTTTAAAAAGGACATGTGGGAATCTAATAGGCAAAAGTAAGGAAGAAGCCATCAGAGGCATGGGAAACAGGCTAAGTAAAGTTAAGGAGGGGGAATATTTGGGGAGAAGAATGGGAATGTTGCAGGGAGAAATAATTCTGAGGGAAGGTGGACTGGGGCCAGGGTTATGCTGGTAAATGTTTTTAAAGTGACTCTCAAAAAAAGTTCGCACAGCACACTTTTAATTTGCATTTTTAACATTTTCCCCATCATTTTCTTTGTTGATTATTGATTATCTCAATAATCAACAAAACAACAAATAAAGCCCTGATTTTGAGGATTTGCTGATTTCTGAGGTGTAAATTCTCACAATGACAATTTAACAACTGGCTCTCATGAGATGGTTTTGAGCTGAGACCAGCACATCTCTGACTGGGGCAGTTAGTCTACTAGCATTTATTAAGTACTTGCCATTACTAGGCATTGTGTTAAGATGTTGGGTTACAAAGAAAGGCAAAAGACAACCCCTGCTCTCAAGAAGCTCATAGTTTCACAGAGGAGACAACATGCAAACAACCATGCACAAACAACTTATATACATAAGATATATACAAACAAGATACATATATATACACATACATATATATCTTATTTGTATATAATGTATATATATAAGAATAAACAAGATAATGTACATACACATAAGGATAAATTGGAGAGAATTGATAGAGGGAAAGTGTAAAATTAATTAGAATTAAGAGGGATTGGAAAATGCTTCTTGCTGTAGGTGGGAGGGTATTAGATGGATGAATGGATGAAGAAAGCCCAGAATGTGTTTTTCGGAAAACTCCATTTTGGCTGAAGTAGAGAGCATCCCAACACCTCAAGAGCCTATAATTTTGGCAATATAAGTACTCCATCTACCAACAGATTGTAACCCTCTATTATTAAAGCTGGTCCTCAGACAACAAGCATATGGTCTATAATTGGGCCTCTACTTGAAACCTTTCCATCTTGGTGGAAAGCTATCTATCAAGAACCTAGAGTCACAACTTTTCCATGATGAGGGGTTGTAGGACTTAAAGAGGAGGATATGGAGGTGTTTTTAATGTCAAGCACATGGAGGAGATTAACACAAGATAAGGCTGGATAGGTGGGATGATACTAGATTATGGAAGGCTTTGAAAGGCCAGGAAAAAGTCTGAATTTTAGAGCAGGAGTTCTTAAATTATTGGATGTCACGGGCCCCTTTGGCAGTCTGGTGAAACTCACGGACCACCTCCTCAATATGATGTTTCTAAATGTGTAAAATAAAATACATAGAATTACAAAGGAAACCAATTATATCAAAATACAGTTATCCCAAAAATTGTTTTTAATAAGTTCATAGACTCCAGATTAAGGATTTCTTCTCTAGAGGCATTAGAAAACCACTGAGATTTCTGAGCAGAAGAGTAGATAATGACAAGATTTATGGACAGGGAATGTTATTCTGACAGTGGTATGAAAGCTGGATGGGGCAGGGAGGCATAAAAAATAGAGGCAGAAAGACCTGTTAGGAAACTATTTCAATTGTCTAGGCAGGTAAGGGTGCCTATGGTAGAATGGTGGCAGTTGGAATAGAGGAGAGAGGATGGGGGCAAGAAGTGGTACTGAGGTGGAATTGATAAGTCTCTGCAACCTACTGAGCAGATATGACAGATGAGAGAGACCCACCCAACCAATGTCAATGGGTTTCCAGCTTTCTCAAGGCATCTATTTCTTTATTGTGCAGATGACGTCAAAACTGAACATTCACCTTTCCTCTCCACCCTCCTTCATGGGGATGAAAGAGAAACAGAAATATTTTGGATATAGTACCAATGAGGTCATGTTTGTTTCTTATTAAATATCATAAGTAAGTGAGCAACACATACTTCGTTTTAATTTCAAGAATCCACAATTTCCCCCCCCAACAAAGATCTCAGCCTCTCTGGACCACATTAGTGGATGAGTTCATGAACTGCTATGGCCCAAAAAATTCATCCCTGTTGAACTGACCTTCCAGTGATGAGTTTCTCTGCTCTCATCTAGGCTGATCTGCAGATTAAAGTTATAGTACATCAATGGGCCTCTCCTTGAAAGCTTTCCAACTTGGTAAAACCTACCAAAGATTGTGTTCTGCTGGTACAGCCTTTGGGAACCCAGGGTCACCATCGCAGCATGATGAAGCTTTGGGAGAGGACTTCAATGAAGGAAATAAACAATTTGTGACAACAACAAAATACAGATTTTAGAAACTTGGGTTTCTAAAAATCACTTCCAGCACTGAAATTCCATGTTCCTGGACAGTGATAACACTCTCCCCACACCCCACCTTTAGGTGAGGGAAGTTGTTAATGGATTGAAGGGGTCAGACAACGCTACGAAGCAAGGCACTGACCTTCCAAGGATGATTC